GTCACAGGCCAGGTATGGAGAAGCTGCCAGAGCCTAAAATTCTCCTGGCAAGTGAAGGGATGGGGAGATGCCAACATGCAAGGTACACCATGCTCATCCCTGTGCAGGCAGAGGGCGAGATCATGGACCTCTGCGTTCATTCCCCAGCCCCTAGCCTTGTCGGGGGCACAGAGTCGAGGACAGCACTACCCCCGGCCCTACGGCTGGAGACTGGAGGATGTCCCCATGGGCAAGGCCAGTCCCCTGGTCCCAAGCCCAGCTCCTGCCTCCAGCATCCCGCCCCAGCACTGGTGTGAGCAGGGCCCAAACCCATCCCAAAAAACTGCACCCAGTGGCTGCAGGGATGCTGACGGGTGCCCATCCCCTACCTGCACCATCATGAGGGTCTTGCTGTCACCGCTGAGCGAGTCCTGCAGCAGGTAGGTCAGCTTGGAGTTGCGGAAGGGCACGTGGCCCTGCCGGGAACGCAGGGCGTAAATGACGTCGCCCAGTGCTGAGAGGGACTTGTTGATGTGCTGCGCCTCGCGGAGCCGGCTGCCCTCCGCGCCCGACCGCCCGACTCGCTCCGATCCCGCCAAGTCCACCAGGTTCAGCTTCCCTGGGGGGACACAGCCAGCCCCCACCCCACCCCAAGGCTGGTGTCAGCACCCGGCCCCATGCAGCTCTGGGGCCCAGACGCCCCGGTGAGGGGCTTGCTGCATGGCACTCACCTGTGGTGCGGAGCCCCGTGCTGCGGTCAAGGCCGCGGACAGTGACGATGAGGAGGGCATGGGAGCGGGAGCTGTGCTCGTTCAGGTTCGTGCACTCCGTCGCCCGGTTGACATGGCCGAACTCGAAGACCTGGGGAAGCCCAGGGAGGTGAGGGGTGAAGCCAGCCTGCCCCAAACCCACCACAAACCCCCACCGTGACCTGGGGATATAACCTGAGTGACAGCCTTCCATGAGGTGCCTGGACCATTGGAGTGATGACTGCTGTGAGGTCTCTGCCCGGGTGAGGCAGTGAAGGCTGAGGGTGACAGGCACTGCAGTGACAGCCACATCCCGCTAATCCCCCAGGAGCTGCTGGGGCCCCACGCTTTTATTTTTAACCCACTGCAGCTCACCCCATGGGACAGCGACCATCACATTGCACCCAAGCACCTATTTTGGTCTCTGTTGCTCCCCAGCGCTTCAGAAATACTCCTGAATTTGGGGGTCATGCACCAAAGACACCCCCCCAGTTCATCACACCCCCCGTTCCACCCTCCTGCTCCCGCTGCCCCTGCCATCTCCCCGCACCTTGTTGATGTCCTCCACGCTCTGCACCCTGAACTCGGTCAGCCCGGGCACATAGAGCTGCCCGCTGCCGTCCGGGCACAGCTTGATCTCCAGCTTCTCCTGTGGCTCCTTCCCCAGCAAGTCCCTGGGCAAAGGGGCATCCGTCACCATCCCCACCCCAGGGATGGGGGGGATGACAGGCGCTGGCTCCCCTCCAGCATGGCATCCCAGACTCCTCCTGGCCTCTCCTGCCTGCGACTGGGCAGGGGAGGAAAATATTTCTCATGCTCCCAGTTGGTTATTTCTAAATATAACATCTAGGGTCGGGGGGATTAGGGAGGAGAGGGGGATGCCTCAGCCACCGCATCAGGGCCAGGGGAGCGGGAACAATGGCAGGACTATGAGCTTGTATGAGTAACGGAGCCCTTTGAAAGGGCGTCATGCACTGAAACAAAATGTAAAAATAAATCCTTGCGTGGCCAAATCCAGTGCTCAAGGCCCTGGGAATAAGCTGTGTGGCCAAGGCAGGGCTGGGGGGATGGGGAAGAGCAGCGTGGGGTGATGTCCACCGATGCCGGCTCCCCAGCAGCTCCGCTCACTCCACCAGAAAGCTTTTCCCCATTCCCTGTACCTGAGCGCCTCGTTGTAAATCTCGGCAGCGCTGACGCTGATGGCGTAGTCCCAGTCGGCCGCCTTGCCCCGCACCTCGGAGAAGAGGAGCTGCAGGGCTCGCTGGTTGATCCCTGGGTTAGCTGCCGTTCCCTAATGGATTGGGATGAGGAATGGGGTGTGGGGGGGAAACACTCTCTTGCATTTTATTCTGCATTTTTTTTCTAAGCAGGAGAAGCCCAGAGGGTGGGGGGACATTGTGGAGGGCTGTACGAACCCCTTGGCAGCAGCAGTGACCATCACTGGTGCACCCCGGGTCAGAGCTGGCCACCAGCCTGGTTAGGGGAGGGTGCCAAGACCGGGCACCATGGGACGGAAAGCTGAGGAAGAAGAGGGAAGCAAAGCCAGTCAAACTCACCTCCATTGTGTAGGTTTTTCCTGCCCCTGTCTGCCCATAGGCAAAGATGCAGACGTTGTAGCCATCGATACAGGAGGTGACCAGGGCTTGAACCTCCTGAAACACCTGGAGGGGGGAGCAGGTGTCAGGAGAAGGTGGCAGCATCCCCATCTCATACAGCAGTGTGGATGGCAGCACGCACCTCCTCCTGGGATGCTTGCGGGGGGAAGACTTTATCCAGCTCGAAGGACACCTGCTTCCCCTTGTGCAGGAGGTGCAGGACAGCATCATCATCAGCATCGAAGCTCACCGCATTGCTCGCCTCCGGGCCCTCGCCATCCTCCTTTGTGATGGGACGGACTCGCCCAAAAACACGGATGTTTCCTTGGGTGGGGGGGATGCAGGGATGGTTTCAGCCCCAGTGCATCCCACTGCAACACCCCCTGTCACCGACAAACACCATGCAGGGTTGAATGACAGAAGCATCCCATTGCCAACTTGAGCATCTTACGGAAATATGAAGGACCCAAGTGGGGTGATGCTCCGCTGTCCCTCCTGCCCCTCCCTCAGGGACATGCTCTCCCATGGTGGGACCTGCCACCCCCCTCATGCACCTTTCAGCCGCACCAGCTCATTGTGACACTTCTTGCGGAGCTGCACCCCCCGCCGGTACTTGCGCAGCAGCTCCCGGTTGGTGCTGTGCACCTCCTCAATGGCGTGGCCGATCTGGGGCGGGGAATGGAAACCAGTGGCTCAGCGACCCCCCCGCCCCAGCATCTCCATACTGCGTGGTGGGGAAACCAGGGTTCTGGTCCCAGGGAGGGGGCTCACCTCGGCCCTGGCGCTCCGCAGGGTCTCCTGAAGGAGCAAGGGGAAGTCACGGACCTGACGCTTCAGGCTGTTGTAGTCATGGGTGAGGGTACGCAGCGCCGGCTGCAGTGTCAGCAGGTTGGTCCGGACACCTGCAGGCATGAGGCGGGGTGAGGGGCAGGTGGCATGACCACCCCAGCAGCGGCCGGGTGACCCTGTGAGCCCTCTGCCCCCTCCTCACCCGCTAGGTTTTCATGCACTGCTTTCATCTCCACTTGGGCACGGGAAAATGCCTCTTCGATGGCGTGGTTCTTCTCCTCCTCCATCGCCTGCATCTCCTCCAGCATCTGCCCATGGGCTCGCTCCAGCTCAGCCTCGTACATCATGATCTGGGAGAGGAGCAAGGTGGGGGTAACCAGTGACCACCCGCTGCTGCACTGTATCACCCACTGAGCACCACACAGGCAGGAACCATGGTGGAGCTGGGCAGGGTGATTTCTGATTTACACCCGTCACGCTCAGACCTGAGCTCGGAGCTGAGCCGCTGTCTTTTGGGAGCTCTGCAGCTGCTGTTCCATCTCCTTCAGCACCTGTCTCTGCATCCCCACCTGCTCCTGCAGGTACTGGTTTCGGGACTGGCTCTCACACAGGGCTTGCTTTGCTTTGGCCGACTCCACCTCCACTGTCTTGATGATGTACTGGGGAGAAAAGCACCAGAGATGGGGTGTACTGGGGAAGCAGCACCCGAGGGGCCTGGGATGGAGCTAATTTAAAAAATCAAGGTGCTGCACTGATGTGCTCAGGGCAGAGGGATGAGTGGCACTTGCAGGGCACCCACTGGGCACCACTAGGCACCCAGCCCAGTCAGGAGAGATGGAGAGCCCCATGGCGCTCACCTTTATTTGTTGGGGCTGGGACTTGAGGCTGGCAATGGTCTCCTGGCTGTCCCGCAGACGCCGGCTGAGCCGCTCCTCCTCCTCGGCTCTCTCGGCTAGGGAGTCCTTGAGCCGCAGCTCCACCTCAGCCAAGCGGTTCGTCTTCTGCTGCACCTCCAGGTCCAGCTCCGCCAGCTTGGCCCGCGTCTCCTCCGCCTCCCGCTGCAGCTGGGACAGCCGCTCCTGCAGCCCAGCATTCTCCTGGCCCCAAAACAGCACAGCTGAGGCCGTGTCACCCATGGGTGCCTGTCATCATGCCGCCACCGCTGCCGACTCACCTGGAGGTGGGTGCAGTCCCGGCACGGTGCTGCCTGCTGCTGCCGCCGCAGCTCCTGCACCTCCCCCTGGCACGCCTTCATCTCTTGCCGCAAGCGCTCGTTCTCGGCCGCCAGCAGGTCCCGGTGCTTCTCCGCATCCGTGCCGCCCTGTGGACGGGAGAGGATGGAAGCCTGCTGCACTCCAGGGATCCCCCAGCCCACCATATGGGGGATCTCCAGTCCCCCAAAGAGGGTCTTTCACTTCCCCTCTCAGGGTGACGGTGCTGGGGGGGCCTTTGCTGGCTGCGCCCCAGAGTCACCAGTAACAACATTACGTCGGACAGGAAAATCCCACAGATTTCATCACCCCATGTCTCTCTCTCAGCTCCCAGGGTCCAAACTGTGACCTTGGGCAGGTTTTAATCCTTCTGTGCCCTCCCCCTGTGCCCGCTTCCTCCTTGGGGACCCACAGCTCTGGTGTCCCTTGGGGCAAGGGTGGCTCAGCCCAAGCCCGGTGGCAGCTCACCAGCTCTGAGCGCAACCGGCTGATCTCCTGCGCCTGCTCCAGAAGCTTCGCCTTCAGAGTTTCAACCTGTCAACACAGGCAAGGTTAACCAGGAGACATCTCAGCAGCTTTTGGAGAAGACCCCATGGTGTCAACCCGGCCACTGACATCCAGTCTGGCTCGCACCTTTGTTATGCCTTAATTTTCCACCTCGCTCTGAGCGTCTGATTCACATGAGCTGATTAAAATGAGCGTTAATGAAAGCCTTGCTTTGACCTTGTTCGATCACGGGTATAATTTGTCCACGTTGAGCATTAGCAGAAACCATTATTAAAAAAAAAAAAAGCACCGTCTTTGGAGAAGGAAAAGACCCAAACCTATCCATAACTGTGTTTAAAGAGCTAGAAGTGCCTCATCCTGCCCTTGCAACACTGCTTTGCTTTGCCTTCTCTACTTTTCTTTCTAGGAAAGTTATCTTGGGAGAAGGAGGGAGCAGGAACTCTCCAGCCATGTGTCTGAGTCCGATGGGAGGATGCTCACCAGTCACCCCATCTGGGCATCTGCCCATCCCATGGGGACCGGTTGCAAAACCAGGTGGGTTCCATAAATCCTCCCATTTTTTGTGCTGGGACCAGCGAGTGTCCCCCCAAAAATATGCAGTTATTCAAACTAACAGTGGCAGTGCATGCTTGGCAAAGCCAGCGGTCTCATGGGCTGTGTTTCTACAGGGTTTGCCCACCTGCTCTGTCCCTCAGCCCCATGCCCAAAAACTGATGGCTGCTGGGCAAGCATCACCACCTTCCCAAAACTTACCCTGGAGAGACCCAGACAACCTGGCTGTGCCCCTCACCGCCATCCCCCAGATCCCAGCCTGGCTCCCGGTTTCCCCATGCTGGGAAGCCGCCGCTCTGCCAAACCCCTTGCCCAGCCGTGGCAGGCTGTTGCCCCATCCCAATAACCAGCTTTTTCTAAGCAAACGGGCCTCGCTGGACCATCATTTAGGAACTGCTGATTAATAACAAATGCAGACATGCTGACACAGTGCTGTAATTAACGATGAGAAGTTATTAAGCCACCGCCCTTGCGGAGACAGCACGCTCAGCACAGCACGGCCAGGGCTTCTGCGGGCGAGCTCCGCACACGTACGGCTACAAGCCAGTGAAGGCGGCTGCTACCTGCTGGCATTGAGAACCCCCTTCCCTCTGCGGCAGGGCTTCCCTGCTCTGGCTGGGGGACCAAGCACACCAGCCTTGTGCTTGAGTGGGAAAAATCTCATTTCCGTATTCAGTAAGGTGGATTATGAAGGTGTTTTTTAAAGTCTCTTTAAGAGTGGGGGGGGACTGAGAACAGAGAGTCACTGCTTGTTACAAGGAAACTGCTGCCCCAGCTGGCCAACTCGCACACCGGAGCCTGCCCACCACTCCCCATGCCCGCAGCACCCAAAAGTGCCAATGCACCTCCATTCCCTACCTGCTCCAGCTGCATCCTGCTCTCCAGAGGTGACAGGGACTCCTTGGCAGCTGGATCTTTGGCAGCTGGATCTGGCTCAAGCCATGGGCCGGCCATCCCCAAGCTTTGGAAGTTTGGATCAATGCTTTGCTCCGGCCAGTGTTGGCTGCACTCGCTGCTGAACTGGCCAGCGCGGGGCTGGATCCTAACCGCACTCACACTTGTGTCATGCAGAGTATGCCAACCAAATGCAGGACAATTACCTCCGCCTTTCTGACACCCGTGGAACAAGCAGAACCTGACTGTAACAGCTTCCACAACAGCCACATGCAAATTCCTTTATGAGCAGCCGGAATTCCACACCAAGGATGTGGTCGCGCTGGCACAGGGGATAGTTTTGGGGGCGTTTTGGTCACGGCAGCCAAGCTTAGCCTGCTGCAGCAGCCCTGCACTGGGAGGGTGGACGATTGTCACAGGGCTCCAGCCCCAAATCCCAAAGCCCTCCCGTCCGCATCACATCCAAGGAGCTGCGTGCCCTCACCGGCGTTAATGCGGTGTCACCGTAACATCAATCGGGGGGCTGCGAGCACCCCAAGGGAGGCACAGCCAAAGCCGGCGGGACGGCCATGGAGCTCAGGAGCTCCTGGCTCCCAGATCATCCCTATGCACCTCAGCGGAGAAGATGCTCCATGATTGAGGTCCCTCACTAACCGCAAGCCACAGTGCACCAGCCAAGCCACAGCCTGAAGCTGTAGAACCCAATGGACACCCTCGTGTCCCCCTGTCTCCGCTGTACCTGGCTTTGCAGTTGAAGAGAGTGGGAGAGCTCATGGTTCTCCCAGGCAGCGAGCTTCTCCTGCAGCCGCAGCTTCTCCTCCTGCAGATGTGCCATGGAGGCCATCACCTTCTGGATCACTGGGAAGGGCCGGGCCGCTGGAAGGCTGGCGCGTTTCCCACCACAGAGCTTCCCTCCTGCAGTGGGAGCAAAGATGGAGCCGGTCAGGATCTGGCTGCCTCGCTGGGGAAGGGGATGCCAGCTATGGAAAGAGTCCCCAGGAGCTGCAGTGGAGATGGGATGGCAGCAAGAGGGACTTGGACTTGCAGAAGTCCCACGGAGAGCAGTGACAAGCCGGCGGGTGCATCCCAAGTGCCACAGTGCCAGCCAATGGCTAATGGTGGGGGTCCAGCTGGGTGAGCCCCTGTAGAGGGGTGGGAGCCAAAGGGATCTGCTGATGCTGGCTGAGCATCCCAGGCTGTAACACAGAGCACCTGCCCACGCCACCGTGCTGTGACCCAGCCCCATCACACGCTGAGATGCTGCCGCCTCACTCAGATAACAACCGCCTTCACCATGGCGCTCTGATTCATCCTGGCATCCTTTTTTCTGAATGAGCAGGTGCCAGTGGAAACCAGTATGTGATCATGTTATTAAAGACTGCATCGTTACACACAAATATAATGGAAGCCAGATTAAAATTATATGGGTACCGTGAATGGCTGTATTGCCTAATCCTTGTGTGTTCAGCTTTCTAACCTTCCTAGAATTATTTTAAACATTGTTTTCTTCGTGTTAATAGAGCCCTCAGTGCTGACAAAAGCCAACCTGGCCATACATCAGAGCCTACCAAATGAATTCCTAAACGACTTGGTAGTTCCCAAGAAGAAATGAGCTGGCCTGACTCATTCCCAACATGGGGATGAGGCACCGCAGCGGGAAAAGTGGCGGCCAGGATCCCGGCTGCCTGGCGCCCTTCCCTGCCTGCCCTGGATTTCACCTGCTGCCACCAGAAACCTGAGGTTTTAAAGGCAGAAGGTGATGCTGGGAACTGCTTCGCTGCCTGAGGGCAGATGCTGCCTGCTTTATGCGAAACATCCTGAATATAAGAAACAAGACATTTTTGTCTGTGAATCAGGCTTTTGACCTTTAAAAAGAGTTAAAGAGCTAGCAGAGTGGGCAAAAAATGAGACCAAACTACGGTTCTGCTGTCGACTGTGTGCCATGGGACTCACCCAGCAAAGTCTGCAGGAGTTCTTGCTGGAGTTTGTTTTCCTGCCTTGGACTGGATACCCTGAAAGAGTGCTGACGGGCACCAGCTTTTCTTTATTTCTGTGCTGAAAGCTCAGACCAGCTCAGGTAGGGGACTGTGATGTTCCCTTGAAACCCAACACACACAAAACCCACCCCAAAACTCCTAAAGTCAACAGGAACGCCAGCTCTCGCCCCTCAGGGAGTGCGCAGGGATAAGACAAGATTACAGGAGGCACCAGGGCTCCTGTGGAAAGACTGGGTGTCTGCACACATCATCCACATGAAACCTGGGCTGGGAGCGAAGGATTCTGCAGGGCTGGATTCAAAGCCACGACACGCAGCTACAAGTCAAACTGCCAGGCAGGGGTGATCCCGCACGGACAATGCATTCCTCTTTGCTCCAACACCTTCCTCCTGCAAGAGCATCCTTGGGAGAGGAGATGCCAGCCAGACCTGCATTACATCTACCACCGGGCAGATGTGCTGGTGGCAACGTGGGGTTTGAGCATGGCACACTGACCCTCCTGTTTTCCAAAATGCTTTAAAACCTCTTTGGAAAGGCAGCTGCTTCCATGGCTCTGCCCTGTTACCACTGCCAGGCAGACTCCCTTCCTCCTGCATCCCTGCCCCTTCCCACCAACCATGTCGCATCAGGAGCCGCTCGGGGATGCAGCCAGGGACCACGCCAGGAGCAGCACCTGGGAGGCACCCTGACAAGCCCAGACAATTTGGTCCTGGTGGAGAAAGATGGGAAACCATGGGGATTCAGCCACCCTGGTGTGGCCATGCACACTGTGAGTGTTTTCACAAATACAACACTTTCCTTGAGATGGAGGCGAGCGGCGGGTTTGCTGGTGCTCCTGCTCTGTTCACCCGGTTAAATAATCCATCGGTCGCCTGGCATCCGACAGCTGCCTGGTATTTGATTTCTACTGGGACCCAATCCCCCTGGTGAGTGCAGCTGCGTGTCTATGTGCGCACCAAAAGAGAAGTCCCCCCAGTACCCACTGGCAGGCACTGGGCACCTGTCCCATCGCATCCCTCCTCCCAAGCACCCGCTACCGCATCCTGGCTTCCCCCTTACCTGCTTTCTCCAGGTTCATGGTGCAGGCTGCCTGCACCGGCGTGGCAGCTGCTGGCTCACAGGGAGATGCCAGCAGCTCCTCTGTGGCCGGTGTCGGGGTCCGGTGCTGGCTCTCTTCCCGCCGCTCACCTGCCGTCTCCCGCAGGGCCTGTGTCCGTGAGAAGAAACAGGACGGAGAGCTGAGATGCAGCGACCATGCACGACGTGATGGAAATGGTGCTGGCATGCTGGCATTTCACCAGGCTGGCCAGGAGGTGCGAGCAGGGAGGAGGTACACAGAGGACAGGATGGTGGGACCAGGGGAAAGCCTCCCTCTGCGTGATTTCAGTGTTTTCAGTGTTGGTAAGCTGCTGCAATGAACTTACTGTGTTGCTTTTAGTTCTCCCCATAAACAACTCAGCTTGGTCATGCAGATATACTGAATATTACCTATTTTTCTCTCTATGGCCTTAAAAAACAAAGACCCTGGCTTGCAGGCGGGGTTGAATGCGATGCTGCTCGCTGGTGAGCTGCGGCTCAGGTAATGCCATGCCCCGTGGAATGGAGCACAGCTCCGAAAAAAACAGAGAAGAAATCTGGAAGGAGGGAAAGGAATATAGAGAAGGTCCCAAATGTTTTTATCTGTTGGACCTATCACTGGCTTGCAGAAAAAAAAAAAAAAGTTAATCTGTTTTTTATCACTATTGTAAAAAGTGCTATGGCATGGATACTTTTGGAAGCTGAGCTGCCAATCAGCCAAGGTCACAGAATCGCTCCCTGCCCCACTCAAAAGTGCTTTTCTTACTTATATCTTATTGCAGAACCTGTGCTCGCCCCATGGGCCAGCAATGCTGGGAAACCCATCTCACCCAGACAGAGCAGTGAATACTCAGGACATGCCAAATATTTCTGAGAGTAACTTGGAAGGAAGGAGATGGCGGCAGTATCTCCCGGAGAAGCTGCATGTCTCTGCATTTGAGGCTCTGTAAGGGTTTTGCCAGAGGGAATTCATCAAGGCTGGTGTGAGATAGGAAGGTGTTTTCCTTCTTTTCAAAGGGGAATTTAAACGATTTGCCTGAAGCCCAGAATGAACTGGTGGCAGCAACATCAGTACACTGTGTCCTGACACTGTCCCCAGCTGCAGTAGCCTTCCTCTTCCTCCTCCTCCACCTCACTGGCAAACACCACCTCACGGCACTGCATTGTCTTATCAATCTTCTGCCTTGAGCTCTCCTGCTACATGACCCAGAAGTGACCCAGAAAATGTTATTCCAGGTTGTTCCCCAGCGTTTTTCGGTGCCTTCCGACTTCCTGGAGATGCTTGTCCCTCCCCACCCATGCAGCAGCACTGCTCGAGGCACACGGTGCTGGGGTCAAGGAGGAAACCTGCTCCGGTGACGGGGGGGACCAGCCAGCTCCCACTGAGGGATGGCCCAGTAGGGTGCGAGCCATCCTACCCACCACCCCAAAACCACCCTTCCCACCCGAGCCACAGCTGGCTCAGCGCTCCTCACCTGGAGAGCCAGGCAGGGCCCGCGGGGGGTTGCAGCGTCCGGCCAGCTCACACGGAGGATTTTACGGTGAACCAGTGCAGGCAGAAGAGGAACCTGGGGAGAGGAGTCCACTCCGCTCCTGGTGATGAGCGTGTCCTGCCTGCGGCCTGAGATGGAGCGAAAAGCATCACTGTATCAACCCCAGACCCCAGGATGGGCACAGGCTTCGGCCTCACTCAGCAAACCCACCTCCTCCTCCTCGCTGCTCCCGCTGCACCAGTGCGGCAGAGACGGTGCATGAGTTTTATTTAAAATGTTAATTATGTTAATTAGAGAAATTAGCCCTTCGGGGGGTGGAGACTGGTTGTAATGAGAATTCAGGGTGTAGCATCCTTTTGTCCTCTGCAGGACCAGATCCCACTGGGGACATCCCACCCCTGCCCCTCGTCAAGGTTCTCTGCTTTGCTTCCCGTGATCCTATCATGGAAAAGCTGCCAAAGCCGGCTTGCATCACCAAAACAGGATGGACGGA